ATGGCATTTTATACAGAACAAAAAAAAACAAACACATACTGGCATGCTGCTATAAAAGATCCATTTTTATGCACATCTTATAATGCAATTACCAGCTGAATCTTGCTTTTTCCACCCCCCAAAAAATACCGGGTGCACACCATGCAGATTCACCCACTTGTCAGTATACGGCCGTTGGCATCAGCTTTTATTTATAGAAAAATATGAAGCGTCGAGGGGGAAATGAAACAATGCAATACTTCTTTGGGACGGTTTCTAACATTAGGAAAATATGCAAAGAAAATAGTGTGGCGATCCGCTCGCATACCTTCCCACAGAACGCAGGGCCCGCTTTTATAAAATAATAAATAGTGTTTCAAAGCATTTGGACGTTTTTAAAAACAACATCTGACATATTGGACATCACTGCATCCTGAGGCTCCAGGAGGGAAGCGGGGACCTGCTCTGCGTGTTGGCTGCGCCCTGCACACAGCCCTGGGGGCACACGGGGACACTGCAGCCCCATCCTGCAAGCACCTCACGGCAAAGCCCTGCTTGCACAAGGTGCTCCATTCAACTCACGGATTCCTTGCCTTTGCTCTAGCAGTCCCCACGTGTAACCTCACTGCAGGCTGCTCCTGGTGGCTCATCATGGCTTCCTTTCCAGGCAGCTCTTGGGTACTGCAGCCATCGCACAGCAAGGCGCTCAGGAGCTGCTGGCTGCACGCTAAGCAAGGAAACAAACGTAAGTACTCACCAACACCACTGGACTTATGTTTGCATATTGCAACAAAGCACCTCTGCAGGGGAACGCTTTCTCCTCGCAGCACACCATCACTCACACACAATTACACACACAAATATTTTACTCACAATTCCTATTTTCCATTTTAGAAAAATAACTGAAACAGAGCCTCTTGGTGGCAAGATTGGCAACACCCCGTCTCCACAATTCAGCGTACAGAACCTCCATTTCTTTTCTATAGGAAACTGCCCCACTGCACACACCATGCTTCCCCATACAGATCACTGAGCTCAGAGAAAATTAACACTTTCTTATTAACATAAGATGTGATTATTGAAATCAATTCAGAAAATAGCGTGCATTCACCATGAGCCCAGCAGTCCGGGCCTTCTGCATGCAATGGTTACATGCTAATTATGATAGTGGTGGGATTATTTCCCATTCACATTTGGAATTTACAACGCCGTGAGGAATTGATTAAATTAGCAGGAAAACACACGCACACACACAAAAAAAAAAAAGGAACCAAGGACATTTTAAATTCAGCATAATTTCCTTCGAATTTTCTTTTTAGCTTGATGCCTACAAGGAACCCAGTGCCAACCCCAGCACCAGGCAGCATTTCCGAGCATTAAGAGGCAGAACAACAACCACATCTCTGGCACAGACACTTTGGGAAGGCGATGCAAGCCTTCCTTGTTTACCAGCTTCTCTGGTGTTCACAACAGCATCTCTCTTGCCTCCTGCTAATCGCACCCTTTTCCACTCAGCTAGGATTTTTAAATGAAAATCTCCTTGCATATGGCCAACAAGCCTTCACTTCCAAGCCCAGGAGCTCTGTTCTGTTAGGAGCCCGCCGCTGAGCTTGCAGCACACACCTATGCAGGAGCAGCAGGATGAAGGCAGGCGTGTCCGCTGCTCCAGCAGCATCATGGCTCCTGGGGACTTCCATCATCACCCCAGAGGACAGCTGGCAAATAAGAGAGGGACAGAGCCCACAGTTGCCACCTGTGAGGGCTGCTTTCTCAAGCTGTTGAACCTATCAGCTGTGTGTTGGCTGCTGCTGAGGATCCTGGAGGCACCGCCAGAGCGAGGCAGGGATTTGCAGTCTTCATTTCAAGTCTGACTTGCTGCCTCTCCACACCTTGCTGAGCAGCAGGACTGTGAGCACACGGGATGCTGCATTTGCCTGCAGTGCCATTTGTGTGGTGGCTGCCCCTGAAAGCAGCAGTTCCTTCTGCCCTCACCCGCTCAGCTCCAACTGCTCTGACAGCAAGCTGCAAACTACAACAAGGGAAAAAAACAAATAAAAAGAAAGAAGGAAGACCTATCCCAGACACCAGAGGAGATCAAAGCAGGAACATGAAAACTTTGAAGTCCCTTTAAACAACTGAGGCTCTTCTCCTTCTGAAACTGTGGTTTTGCTCCCACTCCCCACACGCTGCTGGAGATCCACAGGCTGCTCTCAGGCATCCGACTGAGAAAAGCAAAGGTATTGCTCTGCAACCTGCAGATGGGAGATTCCCGTGGGAAACAACACTGCCCTGGACACATACGTGTCCCCAGATCACAGAGTGAGATGGAAAACTACACCCAAAGAGTAGACACAAGTAAGCAGCAGCATGGACCTGAAGCAAGGTCAGGCAGTATGCCAGCCAAGCCTATGTTGCCAAAGTCCTATGCTGTCCCCTGCTTTGAAGGCCCTTCCAGGCACACAGCCAAGCTCGGGGCACTCCTCACCAAGCGGGCAGAAAAGCTCCAAAGAATTATCGAATCATTAAGGTCGGAAAAGACCTCTAAGATCCCCATATCCAACCCCAACCCACCCCACTATGCCCACTGACCACATCCCTCAGTGCCACATCCACACAATTCTTTGAACACCTCCTGAGACAGTGACTCCCCCACCTCCCAGGGCAGCCATGCCAGAGCAGGACCAAATGAACTGGCCTTCCACCTGGAGCAAACAAGCCCAAATTGACACCTCATGGTAACAGCTAGGCACCTCCAGCTCTCCTTGAGCCTCCGGGAGGGATCTGCAAATCCCTTGTGGCTGCTGCACGGCCCCAGCCCTTCCTGCCTGTAAAGTACCGTTAAAGCACCGAATCCTTGGCGTTTAAAACACTTGGCTGCTCCTCACAACATCCGCTGCACTCACGGTGCACAAGCAGCAGAGGCACGGAGCAGCCAGGAACAGGTGGACTGCAGCCCCAGCAGAACATTCCCATTGCCCAGCTGGCTCTGAACCCAGCCCACATGCCTGCTCCTGCTCTGCTCACACAGCTGGGGCTTTCTCCCAGATTTCTCCCTAAATTAGCTCTGCCCATATTAGAAAGGCTCTCCTTTTCCTAAATATTTTCCAACATGGAAACAGTTCTTAACAAAGAAAGGGAGAACAAGACCAGTTTCAGAAGAGGAGCCTGTGTTTCCATCCTGCCTAACTAACACGTCAGCTCCACACAACGCCCTGCACGTGCCAGAGGATGACACGTTTCCAGCACTCACACCCACATGACTACCTAGCACATAAACACACCAAGGGGCAATTAACCCAAATGCACCAAGCACACAGACTCACCTCACAGGATTGGGAACAAGCCACACTCCGAGCAGCCCCGTTTGTGCCGCCAGCAGCCTACACAGTCCTCCCAGGCAGGAAGAGCACTGCGTTGGGGTGCTGCTCATCTCCAAAATGCCATCTGGAGCTTCAGGAGTGATGTGGTCGGAGCCATAAAGCAGAGATCTTGGTTCATTAAATACACCTCTGCTTCCAAACAACCATCAAGAGGTGTTGTTTGTCAGAGAACTCCAAACAGGCACAAAGAGAACCAAGGCAGCAAAAAAAACGGAGTGACTCCCCATCAGAGTATCTGTACAATACTGGCATGACACCTTAGGCAAATAAACATTTGCTTGACCCGTTTCCAAGAGAAGTTATTGTAAGCTTCATGCAAATCTCTTTATTTACCAAAGCACGCACCTGGCTGAAGGCAGATCCTCAAGCTAAGCTGTGGGGCCACACTCCCTCCTCATCTTCCTACGGGAACAAACTAACCCTTCTATAGCAGCGGTCTGAGAACAGCCCCAAGACACCATTCAAGGGAGGAGCTGAGGATGCCCACACAAAACCCAGCACTGGATACTCTTTCCACTGCCTCTTGCCTTTGCAAGTTTCCAAGAGCTCATGGTATAAACCTGTCCCACCCAGGCACTGCTCTGTGTTAAGGACGCTCTGAAGGCCACATTCCAAGGCAATCTCCCCACCCTATTCCTGACGTGGCTCTCTCAAGCATGCTTTTATTAAGAAGAAAAAGGGCTGAAAGGTTCTCCTTCATTCAGAACAACTTCCCACAAAGCTTCTTCCCTAAACCGAGAAGGCACCAGGACACAGTCCTGCTTTGGAAGGAGAGAGAAAAGGGAAATGATGGCATTTCTGACAAGTCTGGGAACACCCTCTGCACAAAGATGTCTGCAGCGCCTGCGAGTGCCCCGGTGACAAACGGAGCAGCCCGGCTCTGCCCTGTGCCATGCTGTCATCGCTGTTCTCCAGCCCCACCGCAGCACTGCTCTGGGATTTCACTTCACTCCATCTGCACTTTAAGCATTGTTATTTAGGATGCCGGACCAGAGAAAAGAGAGAAAAACAAACAAACAATGAAGGGGAGAAGTACAAGACTGTTTTTCTCTTAATTAGAAACATCACTCCTCTCCTACTCAACAAAGCCATAGCAGCTGGGAAGGGAAGGAGATGCTGCAGGCTTCCCCACACTGACCATGGGTCCTGCAGCACCACCGAGAAGGACCTCCTTCAAATCAGCCCCTATAATTGGACCTGCATTTATCTGACCAGGAACAGGTGCCTAAGTCACAGGCACCTCCATCCCAGGCATCCTGTTCTAATGCATGGAGAGAAGCATCTCCAGGAGGAAGATCAGAGTCTGGATGAGGTGATCACCCTCAGAAGTACAGACCTGTGCCTGGGCAAAGGTGGGAAGGTCCCAGCCTTGGCATGATGCTGTTCCCATCCTCTGTCTTTCATTTGCACGGACCTTCACAGTGCCTGCATTAGTAGTTTCCATTCCCAGCAGTTCTCCAAGTGAGTTGCAGCCCTGCCTGCTGCCGCTGCTTTACTGAAAATCTCAGCAAAGGCCCCCGAGCAGCGGCCCCAACATCCAGTCAGCCCCCAGGCAAAGCGATTGGGAAGGGGCAATAAGGGATGGCTGCAGCACAGCATCTCACCAGCGAGGCAAAACCAAGTTTTGGCTGTTTTACTCACTGTGAGAGGAGCCGGGGAGCTGCTTTCACACACCAGCACCATAGTAACCAAGAGAGAGAAGGAAAACAGCACAGCTCACACACACGGTGGCACCAAGTACTTGGAGGGAAGGAAGAGGAGGTCTGAACAGGAAAATCTTTCTGCTGATAAGAACAGCAGAGAGGTGAGGGCAGGGTGGGAAGGAGCCACTCACATCCCCTGCCCCATGGCCACCAACGGGGACAGCAGCCATCCATAGCCGCGTGTCACCTGGAGTCACTTCAGGGGTACAAAGCACACGGCTCTCTTATGGCAGTCGGAACTGCGGGCCAGAAAAACCACCAGCCGTCCCCAGTATAATCAGCGCCGGCCCCATTTGGCTGCACTGGGAACCAAACGCAGCCCGGCAGCCACGTCCTGCCCACCATCACAGCCGGGGAGCAGACAGCAGAGCTGCACTGAGCCGAAGTTGCAGCAGGTGACAGAGCTCGCCCAGCCGGCAGGAGTTGCCATCCGATGGCAGTTTTCTCCAACAGCGAACAGAACGCTATCTCGGATGCGTTCGCTTCTGATCTTACAGAGGGCTTTTTTCCTCCCCTCCTCCCCCCCTTCCTTCCTCGTCACTTAAAGAGAACCCGTTCGAACGAGCTGCCCCGCACCCACCGCCGCCCCACCGGGACGGCCGCTCCCCACTCAGCCCCGCGGGCCGCGCGCCCGGAGCCCCCGCTGACAGCTGCCGTACCTCCGCCCGCCCGAGGCTCCGCGGAGCGCGGGGAAGATCCCGGGAGACGGAGAGCCGAAAGAGCCGAGCCGCCCGCCCGGCACTCGCCGGCCGCAGGTTTCCCCCGCCGCCGCAGCGGCTCGGCGCGGCTCGGCGGAGGCCCCGGCCCCGGCGGCGAGCGCGGGGCGGGGCGGGGCTGGCGGGCGGTGCCGAACGCGGGGCGGGCGGGCGCGGCACACAGCGCCATTAACTGAGCTCCAGCTCCGGGCCGAGAGGGAAGGTGACGTCATCAGAGCTGGGGGCGTTTGTGCGCGTGCGCGGGGCTCCGCTGGTGGCGGGGGGCGCGGAGGGGGGGGAGGGAGCGCGAGTAGTGCGGGATGCGCGGTGCACCCAGCGCGGCGACCCTGCTGTGCGCCGCTCCGCGACGTTGTCTTGCTGCTTGCCGCACTGCAGCTGGGTGCTGGTATCTGCCCAGCAAGGTTGCAGCCCAAGCCAGGCAAGGAGCCCCAGGATGCAGCGGAGAGCTGCCAAGACAGACGTGCTTGTGAGCGTCGTTTTTCCGTTGGAACGCAAGGGGCTGAGAATGCTGCATCTCGGTTGGGTAATAAAAAAAAGTAGAAGTTTTGTTTGAAAAAGTCTCGTTGCGAACATCCATGAGTCGTGGAGGTCCCAACAAGGGGAACGGGTCTCTTCCTGCTGCACCTGTGTTGGTGAGAGGATGCAGAGAGCTTGGGGTGTCCAGAGAGCAATGGATCTGCAGGGCTCACCTTGTCAATAAGCAGCATGCTGTGTAGCTCAGAGACAGCTGGTGAGGACTCAGCAGAGCCTTGGGTACCTCAGTTACGTTCTGAGAGCATGGAAGTACCCAGCACTGCATCTGCTGCTGTGTGGCTGTGCTGGATGCACAGGGGGTTGGGGAAGGAGTAAACGTGCTGCACTGGGAGTTAGGGTGGAAGGGCCAGCAGAGAAGAGTGGGTGAGCAAGGAGCCTCAGTGCAGGGATGGGATGGGGAATGAACTTCCTCAAGGTGCTCGAGTCTCAAATGCTTGCCCCAGTGTCCAGAGAATGGAGGCTTGCAGGTAGAGTAAGACTGTGCTGCTCGTGTGCCCCTGGCGCATCGCTTTACTACTTCGCCGGAGCCGAGGATGTATTCAGCTAGCAAAGAAATGCTGCCCTCTTCTGAAAAGGTGTTCCTGTGCTGCTGCAAGGCTGCCAGCTCGTGCCCTGGTATCAGTGCGTCTCCTAAGGGCGCTGAGCACAGAGGACTCCTCACTCGCTGGCAGCACTGGGTGCATGGGACTTTTCCAGGTGTGCTGGCAGCAGGGCAGGCAGCTGCCCTATGTGCATGGCCAGCGCCTGCCAATGTCTTGCAGAAAACAAGAGCTGGGCAGGGTGCTGCTTGCCTGCTGTGTGCTTCTATCCCCTTTGCTACCTGCAGCCGGCACAGCTGAAGCAAGCCTTGGTCCTGCTTTGGCTCCTCTATGAGGGAATGTAATAACATTTAAATACCTTAGAAATATCACCCCCTCTGCTTTTTCTGCAAAGGACAGAGCAGAGCAGGATGGGAAGCTTGGAATAGAGGTCATGCCTCATCCTGCCAGACCCACAGTGTCCAAAAGCCCCTGCTGGAGGGCTGAGCTCTGAGAACAGCAAGCAGGGGCTGGGCTGGGCTGCTGGGTGCAGCATGGTCTGGCACAAGGCATGCATTGAGCAGTCTTCTCTGAAGAGCACTGCTCTGTGACTGACAGCAGGTTTCATAGGGAAACAGCTCACCCGACTCCATTCTTCCAGATCTTACTGTTAAAGTGGAGATACTAAAAGCATCCTCCAAAAACACCAGGTGACAGTGAAGGCTCATTCCTCCCATCCACCCCATCAGCCTCCCCACAAAGTAACCCTTCTTCTTCCCGGTCTTCAGTGCATCAGTTCTTACATCCAGCAGCAATTCAGGGAGTGACACTGTAGTGATTGCCTGACCCATCCTGTGTGTGGCCGTATCCCACCTGACCCTATATCAGCCTACCTATAGCATCTCCATATCAAGGCACTGACCTCCTCACCTCAGTCCTGGCTGCACAAAGCTTCCAGCTGCTGCAAGGCAGGAGTTAGAGGGCACATTTTCCCAAGAGCTGAGCCCTCAGCCTCCGGGTGCCTTTCCCAGAGGACTCAGTCCTTTGGTCCTGACAACTGTAGCGCATGCAATTTATGCCTTGAGGGGCTTAAATGTTTAAAATTTGAGTCTGGAAAATGAAATAAAGACATCACTAGAAAATGCCAGGCTGTAGCAACCTCAAAGCGCGCGGAGGTCAAGCTGCCATGGGGCTTTGTGTCATCCATCACTCCTGCCCACAGGCCTAGTGGTCTGTCCCTTCCACAGAGGTACCTGGGGGTGATTTTTTAGATACCTGGATACCACCAATGCCCAAAGAACTGAGACTTCCTAGCCCCTCTTCCACCGGGTAACATTCTCTTGAAGGCGGGATGATGCATTACCAGTGCTGCTTGGGTGTTGGTATTGCTGCTCCAAGTGGCAGCAAAGCAGCCCCTGCCCTTGGCACTAAGGTGCTAATGACGCCCTTCTCCACCTCCAGCAGCAGTCAATGCTACGACATTGCAACCCAAGTCTGCTCAGCAGATGTGAGTGCCTTCCTCCTGCTGCTGGGCTCTAACTGCAGAACCTAGGCTGCCTTTAGGGGTCTGCATGGATTTTTGGTATTTTCTCCTCCTAAACGACCAATTATTCACAAGTCTACCTACTGTACAAGGGCAGAAAGCTCTGTTAAATCTCTGTCTGAGCCCAGCCCAACTCCTCCATGGCCAGGTGAATGGATTCTCCTGGATCCCTCCAATTCTCCATTGATGCTCCTGAGGAGAACTATAGGCTGCAGAGTGAAGCGAACATGCTCTTCCCTGTGTAGACAGGAGGAGGAGGTGTCCTCTAGTGGCGATGAGTCCCTGCATCGAGTAGATGCATTAGCAACAGATACCTGTGCACAGAAATCCCTGCCAACTTACAGGAAATCCCTGCAGCTCTCCTCTGAGCTGTGCTTGTTTCCCCTTTGCTGCAGGGGAGGTTGAACCTGACGGATGGCCCTAACGAAGTGGTGTTCAGTGTGACAACACGGTACCAGGACATTGCTGCTGCGAGGCCACCACGTACCTGTGGAACTGGGATGACAAGGTGGTGATCTCCGACATCAACAGCACCATCACCCACCAAGTAAAGGGCCCTTCTCCCTCCCTTTGCTTCACCCATAGGGGTAAAGTGTTCTTTCAAGGCAGCCAGGAAAGATGTCATACTCCATCTTTCTGGATGCCCACCAGGTTGGATCAGCCTAACTTGGTCTCCTTTCCTTTTAGTTCCAATGCTGTTGGGCACATCTTACCACATCTGGGAAAAGACTGGACTCATCACAGCATTGCTAAGCCCTTCCACAAAATCCACCTGTAAGCGTCAGCTCAGCTAGGACCCTAAAGGAAAGTGGGAGGTGATAGCGAAGCTGAGCAGGAGCTGTCATGAGGGCTCCTGACTCACAGATGCTGGATAACAAGTCTTAACTTTCTGCTGTCAGCGATGGCTAAGTCTTGATGTGGTTTAGATGCTGGGGGCAACTGGCAGGGGTTTTTCACTGCAAGCACGTGCCATGCAGCTGTCAACGGTTTATGGGCTGGTTCGGCCTGGTTCCGTGACGAGCGGGGCGGAGGGATCCGCAGATCCGCGCCTCCGGGAAAAAAGAAACAGGGGACCCCAAAATAATTAAAACAGCGGCACCGATCTGAGGAGAAACAAACTAATTTACTAAGTATATTATCGGAATGCAAGATAACACACTATAATACAATATAATCAGAGTTGAAGCTAATAAATCAAATATAATGAGAGAGAGAGAATGTCCGAAAGGTGGATAGGCCTCAGCACAATGCTGAGGTGAGATGCGCAGCGCAGTTGAGCAGCAGGGAGATGGGAGCAGCGCCCACGACGAAGGGCAGGCGAGAAAGAACAATCAGGCGACCTTGCCAGGAGTTCAACCTCCTCTCCCTGACCGCAAGGTCCCCTGGGGAATGTAGTTCTTCTTCTCTTCAGGGCAGGTACCCAGGACTTGAGCATTGACAGTTAAAGTCCCAGAGCCCCACGTGATGTTATGATGTGGAATACTGAAAGCCAAAAATCACAAAACCATGACATTCCACCCCTTATTCTACATCACTACATCATGCTTAATATATATACAAACATTAATTGCCAAACATTAAACACATGCACACACAAACTTTTGCCATCGCCCCTCCTCCCAGAGAGGTTTCATCCTCTTGGCTTGTTTAATTGTGGCGCATGTGTCACAATCACGGATAACCTGTGCAATGGCATCCATAGTTAAGTCCACCCCTCGGTC